ATCACACCTCGTATACCAAAGTATATAAAAACGAAAAGATACACTCATGTAGTCAGTAATCGTAGTTTGAAGTTTCATCAACGTTATATCGGTATTATATGTTTGTGTATGTTTAATGGAAAAATGAATTTTGCACCTCACGAGGATGAAGTGATGGAAGAAGAAATCAATGATCAACATGAAGAAATATCTGACCAGGAAATATCCGATGAAGATAATGCTTTGTCAAATAATTTGTGTTTCGGCAGTGATATGGAGAACGATGATGATATAATTGAAATAATATATGGAGAGTTAAATCGAGCTCAAGTAAACACCTTACGTTCTGTGAAAAAGATGTGTTGCATTGAATTCTACTACACTGATGATTATGGAAGATATTGCTCATCATGCATCATAAGAATAAACGATCAATTTTCAAGTCTTCGTGCCGTTCGAAAACATGATACCGACGTATGTGCGATTCTCGAAGGTTATTCTCGTTTGGAGTGCAAAGATTTTCTTTATCAAATAATGCCGTGTAACATGTGCTCTATTTGCACACAGTGATACAAGGTGTTGAAAGTTTTGTCAAAGATACAAAAAACAGACTAAAAAAATATACATTTTCTCAAAACTTTTTTAATGAAAAGATTATGAAAAAAAGGATATTATAATATGGAGCAAACGGAATGTAATCTGGTGGAATAAATCGTTCAGTTGAATACGCGAGAAGAATTTCTCACTGGAGGAACAAAGCAGCATTAAACGTCCGCGATTACCGATCGGTGTTAGACAATCATTAATCGCTCGTATCGTGCAACTCGAAAATTTAAAGGATTCGGTGCGTGGACGTTTCATGTAAGTGGGTGCCGGACATAGCGCGGGACTCAGATGGCGCAAGATTGGTACCGCGTTCGAAAGCCATATACTGACTGGTACGGTAATAAACTCTGGACACATCGAACCTCGCCAGTTTCTTGAAGACATGAGAGAAATTGTGCTTGAGCGTGTGCAAATTGTGCTTGAGCGTGTGTAGAGACATAACAATATTAAAGTACCACAAAGTAAACAATATTAAAGTGGTAAATATCGTATTTAATGGTGAATTTATATTAAGGGATAAATGGGCGAATAAAAGTACAAAAAATTATGAATTCTTTAATTCGTTCGATTTACAAGAATGTTATGCGTCACGCATTGTCGAGCCCGCTCTTAGTATCGCTCGAAGAATTTCAGGAGCGCGATAGCGGGTGGACGCTGTTGCGTATCCTATATTTGACTGTTAACATAAACAAGTACAATCCATTGCATGCCACATTGAGTTACTGAGGGAAATGAAGAAAGCGGTAATCAACGTGCAATCTTTAGGTAACGCGTATTTTGCCTGGTCAGTGGTAGCCGCTCTACACTCGGCTCAAAGTAATACAAATCATTATATCTACATTATACGACGGTATTAAATCTTAAAGACATCCAGTTTCCGATAACGTTGAGTCAAATAAAAAAATTTGAAAATCTCAACGACATCTCCATCAACGTGGCTTCGAAAAGCAAAAAGAAATGACGATTCTTCCTTTACGATTCATCAATATGAAGAGAAACAAGCACGTCAATTTGTTTTACGTGCAGGATCCACAGAACAATAACGCGAAGCATTCTGCGTCAATGGATCAAGAATCTGTTTCGCCTTGTGAACTTGCAACTCAGCAAAAAAGAACGCAAGTACTTTTGCGACCGGTATATATAATATATTATAATA